TAATCCAGTCTGAGAAGCCTTTCAGAGGCTTTTTCCAAGCCTCTGGGAAGGCCGAAAAAGGCCTCAAACCAACGGGGGGGGGGGGGGGTCAGCTGTGAGGCGTGTGCATGCGCACTAAGGTAAGTTTGCCTGCGGCTCGCGTTCCAGCACAAATGGCTCCTGCCATAGGTTCGCCATCACGGCGCTAGGGAATTCCTGAAAGTTCGGCGTTCAGACCTATCAGCCCACAACAGGCGTATAGAAATAAAGCACACTTACACCACCACCACCCATTCAAAAGAAACAATGAAAAAAGGCTAAGGGGGAAAGCAAAAGACCAGAACACATCCTCTCTAGCAGCCTACACCCAGATAAGCAGGGACTGACACAAGACAAACAATCCAGCAGAAAACAATGCCCTAATCAAAAAAAAAACTACCAAGGGGAGAAAAAAAAAACTACACACCCACCAATACTGGCAGGGCAAACTATTGTGTATAAATAGTTCTCCCTGCATTGATGATGGTACATTTACTTGGATAATAAAATATCTGCAAGCAAATAAGCGAGTTCAGAAGCACCAAAGAATCCATACAGCAATAGCACTTAAGACTTATATACCGCTTCGCAGTGCTTTATAGCAGTGATCCCCAACCTTTTTTATGCCGCGGCCCGGTACCGGCATCAGCTGGGTGCCGCCATCTTTTTTTGATGAAAAAGTGCTTCCGGTGAGCTTTCTACCCGGAAAAGCTCACCGGAAGCACTTTTTTATCAAAAAAAGATGGCGGCGCCCAGCAACCAGCGGCCCGGTAAGACTTGTTCCGCGGACCGGCGGTTGGGGACCCCTGCTTTATAGCCTTCTCTAAGCAGTTTACAGAGTCAGCCTCTTCCCCCTCCCCCCAAACAATCTGGGTTCTCATTTTACCAATCTCAGAAGACAGAAGACTGAGTCAACTTTGAGCCGCTCAGGATCGATCGAACTTCCAGGCGGTGGACAGAGTTAGCCTGCAAATGCTGCATTCTGACCACCGCACCACCACGGCTTTCATATAAAACCATTCAATGATGACTTGATCGGGGGCAATTAAAACACAGGATTAGCTGAAAGAACACGAGAAGAAATCCCCCCCGACACGTGTGCAGCAATGCGTGATGCCATGCAATGGAAGGAGCCCTCCAGCGGTCACACATGGCTGGCGCACAATTCACTGCCGGAGCCAGGCTTCACCACTGGATTCCATGTGCAGGCCGTGTGCACAAAACATGTGATTCCTTGCGTTGCCCCTCTTGGACACTGCTTTGTGCTGGAGGAGGCAGGCTGCTTATGTACGAGAGAAGAACACAGTAGCAAGCTCCCACAAAGGAGGCAGCCTGCCGAACCCCCAGAGTTAAGCCTTCATCATCGGCCCTAAACTACCAGGTTTGGTGTTGTGGCTAAGGGATCAGGCTAGAGACCAGCAGTCCTGCCTGGGCCTCTCACTTTCTCACACGTCTCAACAACCTGGCCAAGGAAACCTCCCAGGGATTGTCCAGGCAGTGTCCAAGAATCAGGCAGGACTGGACAGAAGAGAAGAAAAAAATGCCCCAGAGGGAAGGTTCCGGACTGCTGCAACAAGGAATCAGGTCCAGACCAGTGATCGGGAGGAACCTCTGGACAATATGAGCTGTCAGCCACAGGAAGAGGCTGTCAGATAAGAATTTCCCTTTTTCTGGAGCTATTGAAGCCAAAGTCTCTTCCCCCACCCCCTTTCCCACGGAGGGCTGGAGCAGAGTTGGTAGCCCCAGGCAGGCAGATGCTTCAAGGCCCCCACCGGCTGCTGCCCTTCGTTTGGAGGGTTCAAAGGGGAACCAGAACTTTCCAGCTATGCCCGTGTGGCTGGAGAGAAGACTTCACACCCAGCAGTGGTGCAAGCGGCCATCCTAGGACTCTTCCCTGACCGTTTCCCTGGGAGAAGAACAAGGTGACCAAGGTGCACTTGGTTTCCAATCTACTTGCACAAAAAAGCCAGAAGGGCGAACCAAGCCACAGCAGCCACGGGTAGACCCACTCATACAAGGACCCAAGGCCTTGCTCCGGAGCTTATCTTGTATCAACGGGAGAGGACAAGCAGCTTCTAAAGCAGTGGTCGCCAACCAGTGGGCCAGGGATCACTGGTGGTCCGCGAGAAAATTTTGCTGGCCTGCAGAGAAATGTCAACCCCAAAGCAATTAATCCAGGCTGCGCGGGAACACAAGGATGCTCCACCCACATGACCCGCGGGAACACAAGGCTTGCATCGCTTGCACTGTGGACAGCATGAGATAGTGAGGGGAGGGGGGAAAGGGTGGAAGGGGGAAACTTGCCCCCCTCGCCCCATGTGCCTCTCCTGGCCACCGAGCTGCTTCTTTCCATTTCTTTCTTCTTCTGCTTTTGGCTGCACGCAAGGAAAGCAGCAAAAGTCTTCCTTTCTCTCCCCCAAACTCTACCAGAACTGAAGTCTTGGGGACCCTGCAAGGCATCCTGCTCCAAGAGGCTGTGCTGACGCGACAAGTCTCACAAAGACTCATTTCTGGTGGAGTTTGGGGGAGAGAAAAAAAGACTTCTGCGGCTTCTGCTGCTTTCCTTGCATGAAGCCAAAAGTCTCTCTCTCTCTCCCCCTGAGAACAGAGCTGAAGACGGTATCCTGCAATCCCAAATCAAGAATGATCGATCGGTAGGAAAACAGGTTGGGGAATTTTCCTGCAGACTTTTGAGGGGATTTTCCCAGGGTCTCTGGTCCACGGGATTTAAAATTATGAGTTTGGTGGTCCCTGAGGTGCAAAAGGTTGGCGATCCCTGTTCTAAAGGGCTTGTCTGGAGGCTCTGCTGGAGCTCACCCCTGTCCTGACCCTTCCGACAGCCGCTGGCATAGGAGACATTCCCAGGATTGGGCTGGCGAGGGCCAAAAAAGAGCCTGTTCCCCAGACCAAAAAGGTTTCACTGAGGCCGAGTAAGGAGGCCCTCTGACAAAACTGCCATCTTTCAGCTGAAGACAGGGCAGGGCAGGAGTGGAATCACAGGCCCCAAGTTTGAAGGCATCTCAGATGTTATCTAGTAAGCCCGATATCTACTCCAGCACCTCTGACAGCTGATCCCACCACTTCTGGTTGAAGGCTCCAGCAAAGGAAAGGCTCCACGTGATGTGGCAGCCTGGTCCACGCTGGCTGCATGGAGAAATGGCCTTCAGAAGCCGAGGAACCTCACGGCTTCAAGGAGAAGCTCTGGAAAGCTCTGCTCTGGGGCAGTCCTGGACTCAGCCACCTTCTTCTCAGAGGGGCTATTAAAGCATCCAGGTTGTTGTTTGCTTCGAGGCCTCTCATCTTTGTGGGGCTGGGAGGAAGAAACACCTAAAACTGATCTGGCTGGAGGAAGCAGGAAAGGAAGGGCCTGGCCTAGAATGCCACCTTCTGGCTAAGAAGGAGAGCTTCCACAAGGACAGATCCCACCACCTGCCCAAAGGTGAGAGCAATCCCCGCCCAGCCATCCCAACCTGTGTGCAGTTAGGAGCAGCCATAAAAAAAAATGGCTCGACCTTCCCCCTCCTGCATTCCCAGAGGAAAACCGCCAGGTGCCTCCAGCTCTGCCCTCCTTCTTCTAAGGTAGCTCTCCCGCTCCACGCCTCTCTGCTCTCAGATGCCCCCTAACCAGCGGCCGCAGGTAGATGGGGAACGCCAATGACACACCGGGCGTCCTGAAGGGAGGTATCCCCCAACAAAGGGACCTCCAAGACAGGAGGCCACGGGGCCAACTCAACTCAGCTGAGACTGCTTGGAAGACCCTCCCACTTAACCCCCACACACACACACACACCCGGGGGTCCTTCCAGGATGTGCAAGAAACAGCTATGGAGTCCGGGACTTTGCAGCTGCCTAACCCAACGATGGCTCCAGCTGTGCTCGGATGTTTTTTCCTGCGAGGTGGCCCGGATTCTCCTGCGATTCTGAGAAAGGACTTCTTCCAGCCCTGCCAGGTTGCCCTCTGGAGCCAAGTCCCTTCTTCCCTGTTTCTGTATCCTCTCTGCAATTGGGGGAGGAGGGGTGTTAATACTGACCACCTACAGGGTTTCTGGGTATCTGTCGATCATTTCCCATCCTGGGCCTCTCTTAAGCTGAAGTCAGCAGGACCAGACTCGGGAAAGGCACGGCCAGGAAAGACGTGGGAGTGGCTCTCGTGGCCCATCAGGACAGCCTCTTTGCCCCCCCCCACCACAGACAGGAGCCCGACCACCACCACTGCCTTGGACTTCAGATGCTTCTTAGAAATGCACCAATTCCTCGAAAGCAACAATCCGCCTCCTGACTGAACGGCATGAAAAGTTCACCGGCTTTCTGTGCCATCGGCCACTCGGCCAGGCCACGGGTCCCTGGAGCCATTGAAATCAGCGCTGGCCATCTGGCCCCGAGTAAACAGGAGGAGAGGAAGGGGGGGGAGGGCGGAGGAGCTCAAGGGAGAAGGAGGGCGAGGGTCGGCCTCTGCACAGAAGGCCCGGTTGAGCGGCTGGAGGCAATGACGGCCACTGAAAGATCCCTTCCCCTTCCAGGCCCTCCTGACCTCCCGCTTACCCTGACACGAAGGTTATCAAGATACAAGCCTCCTCGGGAGGATTAAAGGAAACCGAAAAGGCAAACAGAAAAACACCCCTTTCCCCAACAAATAAAAAACTTCCGTGCTTTGTGAAGCTGACAGGCCCGCCAGAGGTGTTGACATAACCTTCCATCTCCCACAGAGCAAAGTCAACAAGCCCGTGTGCTGGCTACAAATCTGTCAGGGAGATTTACATTAACTCGTCTGACATGAAATTAAAACAACAATCAACCACCATGAATGAAAGCTCTCTCTCTCTCTCTCTCTCTCTCTCTCTCTCTCTCTCTCTCTCTC